CAGCCCTGCCTTCGTGGCTTAGCCGCTTGTGATTTCAGGGCTTCATTACAGGAACCCCTCAGTCAGAGGCCTACCTGGCTCCTGAAGAAGAGACGCAGAACAGTGAGAGAGTTTACACCTCCAGCTGAGGAGAAAAAGCACGTCAGAGATACAGCATCTATCAAAGCACTTGGTCTCACTCAGAAGACTCTGACCGTGTGTGGAGCACAGATTCAAGTCCAAAGCTTACAAAATGACAGAGCGACCCTTTGCAACTGCAGCTGCATACAGCTCATCTCAAAGTCATATTCCCACATGGGGCTTCCCCTGGAAAATCCCAACAAGTAGGAAACAAAGAGTCCACATCTTTCCCCCTTGAGAACAGTGTGGGCAATGACAACACACTTACACCTTTTGCCCTGCACCCATGACATCTTTGTACTAAAGCAACATCACTTACCTGTTCTCACTCCTGCAGTTCTTTACTACTCTATCTTACAATGATACACTGTTACCCATAAACATGAGAGGCCATACACTCATTCTGAATGAGTTGGGAAATACTGCAGGTTACTGTATTTGAGATGTTTAAAGGTATTTAAAGAGCTATTGAGGATTTAAACTTCAAACTGTGTAAAGTACATCTATTTGGTTTCAAATGACAAAAATACAACAAGGTGAACAAGGAGAATTTTCTTTTAGTCCAATAATGCAAACCACTGTCCCTTGTTTATTGAGCTCCCTGCCAGGGATGGTACAGGTAGGGATACACAGTCCACACTACACATTCAGAGAAGGTCGTGAGGCTACAGGTATCGATGGACTATGAATGTAAGTAGACATACATTGTCTTATCAAAAATTAAAGAACAATCCTGATAGAGGCAATGCCAGAGCCCATCAGATAGCAATTCCACACCAAGGTTTCTAGACCAGACTTGTTTGACCGGCTTGGTCTGTGAGCCATTCCAGGAGAAGCAAGAGTGATATAAACAAAGTAAACAAACATTGAAACTGTGGACTTTCTAAAGGCGCTGCTAAGCATTTCAACTTGGATGTTTTCCCCAAGACACTGTAACGGGCCAAATGTATAATGAGCCCCCTGTAAATTTAACTGTTACTCCTTCTGTGAATTTGCTCACTCTCCTCTCTTCCCATGACTTCCAAACAGTTCACTTAGTGTTCAGATTTCACCTGTCAGCACGGCGTCACAGACCAGCGCCTAAGTAAAGGGTTCGGGCCTCCAGCCTCCAGTGTTCCCCCATAAAGCCTGTTGTCAAGGTGTTTCAGGTGACTAAACACTGGGGGTGACTTTCATTAGGGACACTTAATCCGCCCTCAGACATCCACTCTGTGGCCGTCCCAGGTGGTTGTGCACACTAACTGTGCCCTTGCGCTTGACTCTACCTTCCCTAATGCCTGTGTTTTTATGATTCATTTCAAGGTGTGTCCAACTGTGTACATGGCTTAGGACTAAGCAAATACCATTAAACCCCAGAAGCACGTTGAAAAAAAGATTTATTCAGGCAAGACAGAGGGAATCTCTTGGCACAAGTTCCACAGACCATGATTAAATCTAAGCCATTTGTCATGGTCTCCAAAGCTTTACAGGTACGTGTAAGAGACTGACTGGCTGAGTTTTTGTAAATCCAGTTTGGAATTAAATTCCCTTATAAATGCACTGTTTGACACTCATTCACCTGATGCTTCTGTCTTGGTTTCTGAAACTTAAAATGTTTAAACAAATTCCGTTTTGGCAATCATCTGTAGATGAATTGGTTTCTAATGGTCTAGTATTTCTAAATTAATAATGCTGTAATTGTTAATGATCACGCTCATTCCTATCTACATGAACCTTTCTGCCTTCTGTCATTTCCCCGATTCTGTGACCTCCCGCTCTGGTCTGCACCCTGGTGCTTTCTGCTTCTCTGAGTTCGGCTGTTTCGGTTTCCCCACACAAGTGAGAACACGTGGTACTTGTCTCTTTCCTTCGGGTCGGTTTCATGTAGCACGATGTTCCCCAGTTCTACGTTGGTACCAAGGAAAGTTTCCTTCTGTTTGAAGTTCGTGTAGTGTTCCACTGCATAGTGGAGTCGCATAAAATGTGATACACTTCGTGATACAGTATTCTGTCTATTTGTCCGTGGCCAGGACTGACACCTGGGCTGATCCATAACGTGCCATTGTGAACCGCGCTGCAGTGAAGCTGAGAATGAGACATCTCTCCAACATAATGAATTCCAGCCTTTCCGGTGAACACCCAGAAGAGGGACTGCTGGGAACTCTGGCAGGTACTAATTCTTACCAGCGGTGTACGTCCGGACCTACACGTATCTTGTCCTTGCTATAGGAGCTGTTCTGGCAGGTGTAAGGGACACCGCCTTTTGGCTTTCGTTTGCAGCTTTGATGATTAAGGATGCATCGTTTGCCGGCTGCACACAATCATGTACCTTATTTTGGGTTCTGAGGACCCAGGTCCGTCGCCCGGGGCTTACAGTGAGGTGGCTGGAGGTGGAGGGTGGGCTCTCCGGGCTGTAGGCGTCACCTGGCTGACCCGGGAGGGCTGCCTCAGGCTGGGTGCCGCTCCCGGTTCCTCTGGGGCGGGCGGCGGGTCCCGCAGTCTCGGCGCCGCCCCGCGGTTAAGCGGGCTGCAGAGACGCCCGTCTCGGGAAGAAACCCCGAGGTCTGCGTGGACGGGGCGCTCGGGCGCTGCAGGGGGACCTCTGCTGGCCGAGCCCGCGGCGCCCTGCGCAGCAACGGGTTTCTCTCCCGGACGCAGGCCGAGGTCGCAGGCGCGCAGCGGCTCTGGGGCGCCGGGAGGGTGCCGGCCGAGGACCTGGCCGGGACCGGAGGACCTGATCAGGACCATAAGACTCTGCCAGGGACCGGAGGACCTGCTCAGGACAGGAGGACCCTGCCCAGGACCGGAAGACTCTGCCTGGGACCGCAGAATCTGACCCGGACCGGAGGATCTGACCCTGACCGGAGGATCTGACCGGACCGAGGACTTGACGGGGACCAGAGGATCTGGCCCGGACCGGGGCATCTGACCCGGACTGGAGGATCTGACCGGGACCGGTGGATCTGACCCGGACCGGAGGATCTGACCGGATCGGAGGATCTGACCCGGACCGAGGACCTGACAGGACCGAGGACCTGCCCCGGACGAGGACCCGG